TTAAACTAATATGTATTCTTCTTTAAGATTAAATAAACTCTTAAAATACTTGTTTGATTACGGAAAAAAAAAAAAAACTCTTTTTTATATACAACTTTTTTCTTAAAAAAAATTTTTTTTTTAATAATTATCTTTCAAAATTAAAGAAACAGTTATTTTCTTACTTTTCAATTTCTTAAAGTCCTCACACATTCTTTACTTTTACTACAAGAACTTTAAAGAAATTAAAGAAATACACTGATACATTGGGATAGGACCTCTGGCCAAAAAAAAGCAAGTTTGGAATTCTTGCTTTTTCTTTGAATTGCATAAGAAAAGACCAGTGACAGTTACTTCTTTATAACTCTTTCTTGAGATTCTTTCCATTTTTACTTCTTATAAATACACATTTCTTATTAAATAATCATATTTTTTTCTTGAAGATTTTTTTTGCAAACCAAAAAACAAAACTACATATTAAAAATGTTTATATTGTTGACTTGAAAGACTAGCAATATATTTATTATTTACTTTTTACTATTGCCTAGTATAACTTGTTATATCACAAAAATCATAAAACTTTTTTTTAAAAAAAATTTTACAAAAAAACTACAATCAGTTTACTCCTGTCAATTAATCAATATTTCAAAACCAATCAATCAAACACTACCAATTATTTAAACAAATCCATACTATTAAAATACTATATACTAATTAACATAAACAAAATCTTTTTTGGCAATAACTATTAAAACAAAATTATATTATTAATAAACAAACCAATTATACTATCAACAAACAAATCAATTACCAATTGTATTAACAAAACAACAATACAATCATTATGACAAATCGACTATCAAAGAAATATATTATCAACACTACTATATATTTTGAACAGTAGCTTGGCTATTTGTGATAAGTACATATACACTATATTTCAGTTAAATGGAACTATCAATATAATACACTTATTTGAAACATCCTTAGCTTTACAATTGGTTTTTTTGTATCTATTTTTTTGTATAATATTTTATTTCTTTTTTATTTCTTATAGTCTTTTTATATATACTGTAAATCTGTATTCATAATTACTAAGTACTATCTTTAACAATGTATTGGCTTTAATATTTTTTTTTCTTTGCAACTTAAATAGTTTATCATAAGCAAGCTAGTATTAAACTTGCTGATTAACTGATCACATAGGAGATATTATTATTTTTTTCATGTATAAAATTTTCAATTTTTCAATTATAATAAAGTAACAATGTTTATTTACTTTAAAAAAAAATTTTTTTTTAATTTAATAGTAATTTTTTATTTTAAAAAGTAATTATAAGCTTTTTGAATATTTTTATAGATTTATTATATTTAATAAATTTTAAATAATTAATTAAACTACAAATAATAATAATAAATTTATTTCAATAATATATTATTATATAAAAAAAATTGGTTTTATTTATTATTTATTATTATTATTATTATTTAATTTTAAAAGAATTTAAAAATTATTTAATATTTTAAAATTCTTTACAAAATTCAAAAACAATAATTAACAATTGCCATTATATTCTTTCTAACAAATATTAAATAACAAAAGCAAAAGTTATCAATTAATACAGCATTTAACTATTCAAATATAATAATATTTAAAAAATTTTTAACTATACTAAATAATAACAACAGTTTTATAAATAAAAAAATCTTTAATCCAACAAATATTTCATTGTTTTGAATAGACATTAGCTATTCAACATTTCTAACAGGTAAACAACTACTAGGTGACAATTTTTGTTAGTTATAAAAGTCATAATAGGCTACAATTATTTATATTTTATGTAAAACAATTTGTTTAATAAAGGTCTTATATTTAATACTTATTTTTGATAAAAAAATTTTTTTTAATATTAAAGAATACTTAAAAGCCTTAAAAAAGCTTAGATATATTAGTTTTTTAGCTATTCAATATTGAAGTTTTGAATTATAATGCTATAAAATCAAGAATCAAAAGTATAAATAAATTTGAATTATTTTATATAATTAAAATCAATATATTATACAGATTACTTGTTATATAAATGAAAAGTAATAGTTTTTATAAATTTGAGTATATATAATATGAAAAAATAGAATTTATAAATTGCTTATACTGTATATTTTGAATATTTTCTTAAATAAAATCAAAACATCAGATCATACAAAAAAAGTATATTCTGATTAGAAGTAAAAAAAAATCCAGTAAAAGATAGTATAGGTGACACCATCAATGGGCGTCACCTCCATTATTTAAAAATCTACACATTCGAAAAAAACCTCTGATTCATACCCTTGAAATCATTTGAAGATAATGATTCCGTTGTTAGTTGTTTGTAGCATCGCTTGTTTATTAGGTTATGCTTACTCACCCTTTCCACGTTGGTCTACATATTTTCAGCTTTGGAAAAATGTAATATTAAACTATACAGCAGAAGTACCTCTTAGTGTCAGAGCGCAACAAACACAATTACTTCTAAAGTATGGTCTTTCCGCACCTTTCTACACATTTTTGTGGTATTTGGATGAACTATTATATCCTAACTATAAAAAGCA